TCACTTTCCAAGTTGTCATTTATTGTACTTAGAGGTTCCACACATTCTGATGGTACAACAGTTTAGGATTAAAATTCAGATTTTGTTTTACAATTATTAGTGAATATTTTTATACAAAATACGTATTTAGGTATAATATGAAGATTTTAATCTTACCACGAATAGTAGTGGTTGGCAACTGTGTTGTGGTCGTTGGCATCATAGTTGTTGTTGTTGGGAGCATTGTTGTTGTAGTTGGCACCATTGTTGTGGTTGTTGGCAATATCGTTGTAGTTGTTGGCATCTTAGTTGTTGTAGTTGGCAATACTGTTGTGGTTGTAGGCATCTCGGTTGTAGTTGTTGGCATCTCAGTTGTGGTCGTTGGCAACATTGTTGTAGTTGTTGGCATCTCAGTTGTGGTTGTCGGCAAAAATGTTGTGGTTGTTGGCATCTCTGTTGTAGTTGTTGGCATCTCTGTTGTGGTTGTTGGCAACATTGTTGTTGTAGTTGGCCACATTGTTGTGGTTGTTGGCATCTCTGTTGTAGTTGTTGGCATCTCTGTTGTGGTTGTTGGCAACATTGTTGTGGTTGTTGGCATCTCCGTTGTAGTTGTTGGCAGCATTGTTGTTGTAGTTGGCAGCATTGTTGTGGTTGTCGGCATCTCCGTTGTAGTATAGACTATAAAAATATCATCAATCACAATAATTCCAGTCAGTTTTTACGTGGGCATCCCAGCATTACAGCCATTATTGCATTATCGGATTTTGTCTAGTCCATTGCATCTACTTATTAAAATCTGACTCTTTATATGCACATCCCATTTTCCAAGCCTTCACTTATTATAGATTACATTATTCTAAGCACTTTATTTATTTATGTCTCTTAATATGCATCACTTAACTTATGAAAAAAAATAAACTTAAAATTGTCTTCTTAATGGTAAAAAGGACTACAAGATGTAAATGGAACATTGTGTTAGCATAAATATATATATATATACTTGCCTTTTTCAATACAACCAACAAATTCAATCGTCACTTGTATGCCCTCTGCTGGAACATAAGTCAGAGTCAAAGTTATTGAGGTGACATCAAGAATGCCTTCTTCGGAGAAAAGTACCCTGTCTGTCAAATTATCTCCGCTAAGATCTTTTGTAAACACCTGTCAATTTGATTTAAAAACACCATATTTTTTATCTTCAATATACATTGACAATATTTTCTACTATTGAAATGTTTACTCCAAAGGAATGGTTAATGTATTTATGATAAATGAAATTGTATCGATGCCCAAATATTAAAAATAGGAACAGATTACAAATGACAACACTGGCACAATAGGTGTAGTTAAAATAATATAAGAAAAATAATTACAACAATAATACATTTACATGAAGTCAATATATTAAAACTAACTTACCACTAGTACGTTATTATCATCAGTAATTTCTTTCACAACATCACTACCACGCTGTTTGTATGAAACGGTGAAGCTTATAGTTGCAGCTTTCTTACTATTAATTTCAACACCTGTTACTTTTAGAGGTTGCGAATACATAACCTCGAGGAAAGAATTAATAAATGGATTCCAACCAGATGATTCAATATGCGTGATACCAATGACATCCTCACCATTTTCTGTATTTCGCTCACTTTCCAAGTTGTCATTTATTGTACTTAGTGGTTCCACACATTCTGATGGCAAAACATTTTAGGATTAAAATTCAGATTTTGATTTAAAATTATTAGTAAATATTTTTATACAAAAAGAATGTTTAGGTAGAACATGAAGATTTTAATCTTACCACGAATAGTAGTGGTTGGCATCTGTGTTGTGGTCGTTGGGATTATAGTTGTTGTTGTTGATGGCAACATTGTTGTAGTAGTTGGCAACATTGTTGTGGTTGTTGGCAACATTGTTGTGGTTGTAGGCAACATCGTTGTGGTTGTTGGCATCTCCGTTTTGGTCGTCGTTGGCAACATTGTTGTAGTTGTTGGCATCTTAGTTGAGGTTGTCGGCAACATTGTTGTAGTTGTTGGCATCTCAGCTGTGGTTGTTGGCATCTCCGTTGTGGTTGTTGGCATCATTGTTGTTGTAGTTGGCAACATTGTTGTGGTTGTTGGCATCTCAGTTGTGGTTGTCGGCAACAGTGTTGTGGTTGTTGGCATCTCTGTTGTGGTTGTTGGCAACATTGTTGTTGTAGTTGGCAACATTGTTGTGGTTGTTGGCATTTCCGTTGTTGTATAAACTACATAAATAAAATCAATCATAATAATTAGCCTCCCCAAAGGAGCAAAGCTCCGGAAAGGCTGAGTTTTTACCTATGTTCTTATTCATGATATGTTGAGGTTGTCGTGTGTCGTTGTTGGTAGTAAATTGTTTGTTGCCATGATAACTAAAGTTTGGTAAATGATATTGGTTTTAAACTTTGGAGAATGCAAAATGACAAAAGGACGACGGAGTCTATTGTTTTGGTACGTGTGTGATTAATCTATTTGTAATATGTCATGCAGTTGAAATTAAAGTTCCTTTATAGTTTTTATTTTAATAAGTATCGGATTTAACGCAATCTGCGTTGCTGAAAACGTTTCAAGCTAGCCACGGATAACGGCCCAAGGAAATTATCGTGTGGAGCTATCGCGAGGTCATGAGATAAATGTAGTGTAAGTGGTTACAGTACGACAGTGCACTCCTCAATGTACAAGGTTAGGTAATACTTGCAATGTGAACACTGCTTGGGATTTATCCCAAGATCTTGGGATTTTTAATGACACCTTGGGATCTTGGGATTTTTTGTCTTGGGATTATTGAAATGTAATGGACTTAAGCAAGAATTTTGCACCTAGAAGCCAAAAAATCTACGTCTCCGTCTCATGCTTTGCAAATGCTTTGCACTGTTTTTTAATTTGAAAGTAAGGAGTTCAATCAAATTCATCATAAATCCTTTGCTCTTTCCAGCTTACGCCTCCCAAGAAGTTTATCAACAGCTTTTTTTTAATCAAATATTTTCTGTGCATTTAAAGCAATCTTTGGATTTTTTAGACTCGAGTATGGGAATTTTCATATTTCTCAGTGGTCACGCTGAATACTTGTAGCGCCATCCAAAATACATGCTTTAATATATGTTTTAATGCTTAACCGGTTGATGACTGATATAAATCCCATGATTTCCTAACTAGCTAGGCGTACCTGTACACTAGCCACCCAATGTTTGGGTTGCGAAGAAATTTCGCAATCGCGCAATCGCTTCAGATAAAAAACAAATGATGGTAATAAACGAAAGTGCCGACGAAAGAATATCAACTACCGAACACGGGACCGAACTCCGATGAATGTGAGTTAGCTTGACATTTACCAAGCGAATAATACATTCATTTTCTGAATAACATAAACAGGAGTAAGGTAAAGTTTTGGACAAAAGTTGAAAAAAAGTATGATGATTTCAGCCAGGTTGCAACAAAGTTTTAAATGCCGTTCACGACGACAACGTGGATTGTGAGGCTGGATTTCTATAGTTCCTTATTTTCTTGAGTCAATGGCGGATGCAGAGGGGTGCAGACGGTGCGATCGCATTCCCCTAAATTGTATTAATTATCATTAAAATATATAGTATTAGTAAGATTTTAAAAGTAAGATAGTGCAAATTCCGGGCACCTTGAGGTCCATATTCTGAACATTTTCTCACCTAAGCCCCCAACCATGGTGAAGCTGAGGTGGTGTGGATTCTCACGCACCCCCTACCGCCAAAATCCTGCATCCGTCCCAGCTAGAATAAGCTGAAGCTTTGAATAGCAAATTTTAATTACGATAGAAAAACTTGGGCTCGTCTTATACGCGTAACATACATATTTTTGGATTTTTTAAATCATGCGTCTTGTGTGGATCGTCCTTGTACGTGAATTTACTATCGTACTAAAGTATGCCTGACATTAAAAAAAATCGTCCACAAAACTTCTCAAATTCGGGGATCGTCGAAATATGCGGATCGTATGTGCGAGAATTATGGTTCACGTATCCAAGTATCTGAACAGACTGCATTAATTTTCTGTCAATATCGAAAAGTAAAATATTCCACAAACGGGCCTAGGTAGGCCTACTCTATTAAATTAATGATAATTTTAGGTGTGACACACGCCATTTTACAATGTACACTTATTTTTAGATTTTAATTCCCAAAAGAGTTATTCTGTTTCTGAAGATGGTACAGAATAAAAATAACAAAATAACAAGGTATAACAATGGAGGAATTAGTTTCTAATTCCTTCAAGGATTAACTAGGTATTTCCATACGTTTTACTTTTAAATGACATCTCTTTAAATTAAGACAAAATTATTAAATATCATCTTTTAGTCCGGAGGCTGCCGCAGAGACAGTTCGCAACTTAGAAGGTTGTATTGATGATGTTCATAGATGGCTGTCTATCAATCAATATGCTTTGCTGCAATACAGACAAGACAGAAGTGCTGTATATAAAGCCTAAACGCCGTCTAAATGTACCCATCATTGAAAACATCCGCGTAGGAGACACCTACATCATTCCATCTTCTGAGGTGCGACATATCGGTGTAACGTTTGACTCCACACTATCCATGATTAGACATATTACAAACACATGCAGAGTAGTATCCTTCCATCTCCGCAACATCAAGGCAGTTAGGCGTTT